AATGAAAACTGACAAAGCATGTCCAAAATACACATTTTCAAGAAACAAGATGGCTGCCAGTCGGCCATTTTGAATCAAATCGCTAAACCACTGCATGTGCATATGTCCCACATAAGGTACTTGGCACATGCAAAGAATGAACAGAATCGGTCCACAGGATTCTGAAATATGACTCTGGACAGACTGACGCACAGACGGATGGACACACGGACAGATGGACAGACTCAGGGACTCACGGACGGTCGGGGACATGTATCCTAACATGTATGATCTATGTAATAAATTTGAATGAAAACTGACAAAGCATGTCCAAAATACGACATTTTCAAAAAACAAGATGGCTGCCAGTCGGCCATCTTTGATCCAATTGTGAAATAAATCGTCATGGACATGTATCCTAACATGTATAATCTATGTACTAAATTTGAATGAAAACTGACAAAGCACGTTCAAAATACAACATTTTCAAAAAACAAGATGGCTGCCAGTCGACCATTTTGAATTGAATCGCTAAACCACTGCATGTGCATATGTCCCACATAAAGTACTAGGCACATGCAAAGAATGAACGGAATCGGCCCAAGGGATTCTGAGATATGACTCCCGACGGACGCACGTACGCACAGACGGACGGACGGACGGGGACCGAATTATAAGTCCCCGTTTTCAGACTTCATCCGAACGGGGACTAACAATGTTAAATCATTCTTCAAATGCTCAGTTTATCCTTTGAAAACAACTATTTTTTTATTTAAAAAACAAATCATGCCCCATCATGTCCCATCAAAATCCAAGCCAAAAGATCGTACTACAACATCGGCAAATCTCTTCCGCATTGCGTTTAATAACATTAACATATTTAAATGAGCTATGGTAATTTTAACACGTTGGCATCATCCATCGTTTTCATTGGTTAATTATCAATTTGACCTATCAGGTCAAAGAACACCATTTTAGGTCGAAACATGGCGGGTATTCATTTCTACAGCATCGAGCATTGAAAAAGCGATCGGAATCGATGAAATAAAGTTGAAATTTATTTGCATTTCATAACAATTCAACGAATTTATTTTTTGTACGTTATTAAAATCATTACTAGGTAATAATCAACAATTGTGAAACGCAGCCTGACCGGCTTACGCTACCATGATCATTTGCTACTAAGAAATGCAGTTGTGTTCGTTTTTATTTGAAACTTCTTTTAGTTTTAGAATATACTTTCGTTACTAATAAAATGAAACAAAATAATTCTATTTGGCGCACGAGGTTCATTAATGTGATTTTTTTGGAGAAAAATGCGCCGTCTACTTTTTAATTCAGCTAGAAAAAATGCATACAATTTTAGATTAGCTTCTGCAATAGTGTCTTTCGTTTTAGGTGGTCCAACTGCCGGTGTTGAAAATCGTAGGTGGATTTTTCAATGAAAATATAAGCCCCCTAAAAATATTTGATGATAATTTTTTGAAAATTTTAACCCCAAATAAGTGCCCACCAGCCGTGAAACCGCCCAGGGCGATTTTTCAGATGGGCGAATTTACGACAGAATCCGGTATATATAAAAAAAATTAAAAACAAAAATTGGAGCCTACATTAACAATACCATTCCAGCAAATTAAAAGGAATTTCGTATCGTAGAAGTTCAAAATTCAATAATATGCAGGGATACAGGGATACAGGGAGATGACTTCCAATTTTTTGTATAAGTCGATATTTAATGATTAAATATTTTATTTCTATCATTGCAGCTATATCCCTAGCCATTGCTAGAGATGGCGGAAGTGGTGGAGTCATCAGACTAGCGGTAATTACAAAAGACGGTGTTGAGAGAAAAGTTATTCTGGGAAACCACCTACCATGTTTTTATGATGGGTGATAAACTGAGATGACCTAAGATGCTTATGGTTGCTATGGCAATGGAGATCAGAATGAATATGATGAACGAAATACTGAGAATGAATTCTACTCTTCAGATATCATGTTTTTTCTTTAAAAATTAGATTGAATTAAATTTTGTGTACATGTACATCAGAAATGTTGTATTATTTTTATATAATGACTTTGTCAGACCAGCTGTAGTAAAACCTTTGCTTCAAATTCAGGCTTGGATGTTCATAATTTAATAGCAAACACAGAAACACAGAGTAATGTTATCAATATTAAAACAAGACAATAGACCTACGGTACTATCCATATGTGGATTGTCCACCATTTTCACCACTACACCACTCAGTTGATACAAGTCATCGTCTGGCAAAAAAAAAAATAGGTAACAATTAAAATCATACATCACATAAACTTTATATATCACTAGAAAAAAAATGTCATTCCGAAGCTTTGACTTGAACCTTGATTCTGCTTTAATCATTTTTTTACAAGTTAACACTTGTGTCTAGTTGAGAAATTGTCTCACAACTTTTCAAACCCTATCAACTTAATGAACAGATCAATATTCCTTTCATGTCTTCTTCAATCAGCACACTACCTAGAGTTCATGGGGGAATGGAACTTATAATGATGTCAGGCAAATAGTGATATGATCAGAAAATCACTACATTTCTAGAAATTGTATAGAAATAAGCAAGTCGATCAAAGAACTGGTCAGTGTTCATCTTGACTGTCTTTGCTATGTATTTAATTTACAATTATATGTGTTTTGCGTTTCAAAAATTGGCAATAACCTTATTCATTTCTCTTTACAAAATGTACCTCACAAGTTTTACAATATAGGTAGGTACAAATTATAAGAAACATGCCAGATCACATGATCATAAATAGTTCTACATTATGCTAATATCATGCAAATGGTTCTGCATTATGCTAATAGTATGCAAATAGCTCTACATTATGCTAATATCATGCAAATGGTTCTGCATTATGCTAATATCATGCAAATGGTTCTGCATTATGCCAATAGCATGCAAATGGTTCTGCATTATGCTAATAGCATGCAAATGGTTCTGCATTATGCTAATAGCATGCAAATGGTTCTGCATTATGCTAATAGCATGCAAATGGTTCTGCATTATGCTAATATCATGCAAATGGTTCTGCATTATGCTAATATCATGCAAATGGTTCTGCATTATGCTAATATCATGCAAATGGTTCTGCATTATGCTAATATCATGCAAATGGTTCTGCATTATGCTAATATCATGCAAATGGTTCTGCATTATGCTAATATCATGCAAATGGTTCTGCATTATGCTAATAGTATGCAAATAGCTCTACATTATGCTAATAGCATGCAAATGGTTCTGCATTATGCTAATATCATGCAAATGGTTCTGCATTATGCTAATATCATGCAAATGGTTCTGCATTATGCTAATATCATGCAAATGGTTCTGCATTATGCTAATAGCATGCAAATGGTTCTGCATTATGCTAATAGCATGCAAATAGCTCTACATTATGCTAATATCATGCAAACAGATCGGCATTATGCTAATAGTATGTAAATTAGCTCCACATTATGCTAATATCATGCAAACAGATCTGCATTATGCTAATAGTAAGCAAATAGCTCTGCATTATGTTAACAGCATGCATATGGCTCTGCATTATGCTAATAGTATGCAAATGACTCCACATTATGCTAATAGCATGCAAATGGATCTACATTATGCTAATAATATGCACATAGTTCTACATTATGCTAATAGTATGCAAATAGATTGAAAATGAGTAAAAGTTAGGAAGGTTACTCACCACTGACTGCGTATACATCACATAATGTCAATGCTAAATCCAGTAAAAACTTGGTTAATTTGGTGTTACCTAGTAGATGCTTCGTATATTGAGTCGATAGATTTTGACGATCTGGTGAACTTGTGATTGGTAAGAGTATTATGGGATATTTGAGAAATCTACACAACTTATCATCATCCAATCGCCCACCCTGTAAAAATCAATATGGTGATATTCATTTGTCAATTGTGTATTAAAATCTAAGTTACAAACAGCATGAAAGACAAAATTGTCAACTTTTACAAAACAAAATTGCATATTTGTTATTGTTAAGCTCTGTAGCGTAAATGCTCGTTTAGCTAAAAATTAACTATAAAATGTGTAAAAAAAAAAAAAAAAATGACAAAAATTATGTAGATCACTAAAAGTGCTCAAATCCTTGTATTTAAAAATATTACAAATTCAACAAAAACATTTACTTTTCATTGAAATGCTGATAAAAACAGTAGTACCGGTAATTCTGTGAACAGTTGTCCTTTCACCCATCCATATATCACTAGAGGGCGCTATCTTTATACATTTGGAAAATCAAAGATAAACAAGCAGCCTCTCGGCTGAGATAGCTCCGCTGTTAGCAATGCACATTTTAATTAAAGAACTGAAGACATCATTAGAAAATGAACAATATGTATAGTATCAAAGCAATCGGACTTACAGTTTTTAACAAGAAATCGAAAATATCACTTTCTACCAAAAATTACAAAAATATTCACCAAAATTAGTGAATTGAAGATATCATCACAAAATGAACAAATCTGAGAGAGGTTCACATGTAGTACCTATATATGTAATATCAAAGCAATTGGACTTGCGGTTTTTAACAAGAAGTCGAAAATATCACTTTTTACCAAAAATGACAAAAATATTCACCAAAATTAGAGAATTGAAGATATCAACATGAAATGAACAAACCTAAGAGAGGTCTATACACCAAGTATAAAAGCATTCAGGCTAGTAGTTTTTAAGAAGTCGAAAAAGTAAAATATTGACACGGACGACGACGGACAATCACTCATATGATAAGCTCCGCTCGACAAAGTCGACAGCGGAGCTAAAAAGATACAAGCACACTGTAATAGCTTTGAAGTACAATACATCGGTTGTCAAGAACTTATTGATTACCTTCGTACATTGCCGTTGCAGTGCCATTATAGAGTGCATTACTAAACTAATGCATGTACCTCTAGACTTCATGGCGGCCATTATGAAATCCACCGTCGACGAACTAATAACAGTACTTGGAGATGGATGGAGACAAAAATCTAGTGGCAGAAAAACTAACTCATATAATCTGAAAAAAACAAGAAAATAAATCCATAATTTGAGTAAGTTTGTGTTTTAAACTTGTGGGTTTATCTTAATAATTAAAATTCAGAATAAAAAGGGGCTATATTTAAAAGATGAATAATTGCAACGGCCACACTCTTTTCAAGCAGCATTATGCATTGAGCCTTAAAGTCAACTTGCGTCATCATTCACAAATTTTAATTTTTTTTTAATTTTTTCATAATTTTTCAAAATTTTCGATCAAGACTTGTAGTAAATAGAAAATTAGGTCCATTTGGTCAAAAATTATCAAAAAAATATATAGAAAAATACATAAAAAATGGCAAAATGCTACACAAAAATTTGACGGGAAAAACGATTATGGCACTTGTATAATATAATCATGAATTGACAGATAATAAATTCCACCTTGCAACTTTCTGTCAAATATATGATTACCTATTATGCTGCTCATGTTGTTGATCCATTTCTAATAGCAGCGTTGTTGTTAATTTCAGCGCTGGGCTTAATTTCCCATGATGCATCAGTGACATAATCATCACAATTATATCATCCATTTGAATCCAGTCGGATGTCCTGAAAGACGAAATACGTTGAAAAACAACACAGAACATAAACTGTTGAATATTTGTCACAATCGTTCTTTGGAGTATTATTAATAATACTGCAATTTACTTTTACAATCTACTTTCACATCTGTACACTTCCCTGAGCAAGAGAGGTAGTGTTGACTAGCGCCCTCTAGAGTTCTGGGTATGTTGTTTATTGTCGGTAAACTGTATTTTAAAAACAATGTTCCATAGATGCAGATATGGTAAGAATCCTACGACAAGCTCAGATGAAAATTAAGACACTAATTTTTAAATGAAATATAACACTGTCACTCACTGGAGATTCTCTATGTATTGTGTATATGATATACTAAAAAAAAAAATAGCTTTGTCATACAGAAATAAAGATATCAATTTTGTTTCGGACTTGATTACTTGCTTTCAAAGTTATTATTTCAGCGTTGCAATGTGACAACAATTCAATATAATCCAATTTATCATTTCAAACCAAGCATTATCTCTATGCTGTGAAGTCAACAATATTTACGATGTGCAAAATTGGATACAATATTTCAATATTATCTGATGGAACTATAAATATCGTAAAGATGTCACCTTGTTTTCCGTGCAATAACTATAAATAACTCGACAATATTCGCACATACACCGGCATCACAATTTATCACCATATCCTGGCAACTTGCTAGTAAATATGTTTCCATGGCAACACTTCCCCCAACAGATTGATCAGTTTCAAAGAGTTTTCTGAGCATCTGTAGTACGGATACAATTTCTGGCTTTTCTATCGTAGAGTCACTTCTTAAGACTTTTGTCATGTACTGCAATAAACGTTCACCGATGAATGAAGAGCTGGAGGATGTCTCCCGGCAACCAGAATGTGTCTCCAAGCAACGTGATGACTTCTCATCAATTGCATGCTTTTCTTTTCCATTGTCCAACTGTGACTTTTTCACTAATGCTACTTTTTCTCTTTCAGCAAGCATGCCATGTTTATAACACCAAACGATGAGACTAACGGTGAAATCTTGCGCTGCTGTTATTACGAACATGCTTGCATCAACAAGACAAGCAATGATTTGTTCAATACACTCTGTAAATAAAAAGTAGTTTGTCACAAAACAACAAAACATAACGTGACAGATAAAAGGATTTGTCAACTAAGAATAACTTATTGTAAACTTAATGTAAAATTATGTATTGACATAAAAATCATCGTTTATTACCAAATTTATATTAACTTAATTAGTCCATAGAAGGTTATTTGAGAAGCATGCACAGACAGCGTGATATGCTTTCAACATATAGTAATCTCAAACTACAACTGTCTCAGGGTTTGCTAAGCATGATAAACAATAGAGGAAAACTCATTACAGCAATTCCCCCCTGAGAAAATAAACTTTATTGAGGACAAAACAGAAATTGCAAGTTGCAAAATAGAAGTATCTTGCCAATTATTCACCCCCGAAGGCTGAATTGCTAATTATAGAGTCAGTACACATGCCATAAACGTTTAGATATTTTTTCCCCCTCGTGTAATATCTACATATTGATATTAAGTTTTGTAATTGTGGAGTCATATTGCAGATGGATGGATGTACTGCGTAATGAAATCTAATAGGAATGACCTGGTCACTGCTTGAGGAGCACGCCATAAATCAACACATATATCGACACTAATTGAGAAAAATTACACAATACTGACACAGTCGATGTAATTTAGCCGAAACAAAGTAGGATGTTTAATCGCCCGGGGATTGTTTTTATTCTCATTAAAAACCCTGGAGGATATAGACAATGTATTTATAATATGCAACTCTTTAAGAAAGCCCACTTTACTTTTAAGAAGCAATTCTCAGAAGGGTTGGAGACAATAAATTATTCAAATTACCTAACTGTGTAATTACTTGATACGCATAATTCAAATTAACTTTCATACTGTTGAGCCAGGCACAGCGTACGGATGCATCTAGCCAGTATTCGATCCCCTCCAAGGCTCTTTGGAAGATTCTGTGTTCAAGACTAGATTCAATACCAGTAAAATGAGCAGCCAGCAGTTGGACAGTGTCGTCATGCTTCAACAGGATACCGTTCAATTTTAACGCAAATGTCATGGTGCATGGTTCGCAGGATGTGGTGACAACATGCGAGAGGAACGATACTAATCCAACGTCTTCTTTGAATAATTTCATTCTGTCATCTGTAATGATATAGAGTTGTATTCTAATTTTGACCAAAATAAGACTGTTGAGCATGATACATGTATGATATTAATTAATGAGGAACATGAGAATGTTGATTAAAATGAGATTAATGAACAAAATGAGATTGTTGACTAAAATGAAATTGAGCAAAAATAAAATTGTTGACCAAACTAAGAATATTGACTAAAATGATATTGTTGAGCAAAATATGATATTGTTGAGCAAATTGAGATTGTTGACCAAAATGAAATTGTTGACCAAAATGAGATTAATGAGATTGTTTTAGAAAATTTAGATTGTTGATCAAAATGAGATTGTTGAGTGAAATATGATATTGTTGACCAAATGAGACTGTAGACCAGAATATTAAAATGTTGGTTATCGGTAATATATGAGATTGTTGTCAAAAGCAAAATTGTTGATAAAAAAATAGAAATATCATTGAATGTGAATTAATAATAATTTGAAAATTACAGAAAATGTGCAAATTCTGTAAAGCACAATATAATAAGAAAAATATTCATAGATTTCAAGAATTTTAAAAATGATGGTTGTTAAAACTGAATTCCCTGTGACACAGAAATATAGGTGTTGCAAAGCACGAATAGTCGAAAATTGGCAGTTGAACACAGAGACAATTTTAGAGGGGGGGGGGTCCACAGGGGAGCGTTCATACCTCAAATCATTTTACTCATATGAACATATCCCACAATGCAATGTACAATGACATCATTTCCACCTAACCAAACACCCTGCATCCACCTCAGGCACATACATATGACAGAACAACTGTCTGACAAGTTTGACTGATAATAGATGCACAGTGAGAAAACCACATCAAAGAAGCGGTAATGCGCTAGATCTCAGATACCGTATTTCAAGTATTTTATTTAAAAAAAATATCGTCAGAGTGATAACACTGTGATCTGGGGAGACACACTGATGACCTAAACCGTAGTCACGTCAGTTCTTTCAGTTCAATAGAGTCACTGATGAACTGCATGTAAGCTTTCATGACCTCATACCCTGTTCTTATTGGTGACACAGACACAGGATTGGAAAAAAAAAAAACTTATTATTTAGTGATTAAAATCTAACTGAGATTAGTAAAAAAAAAATTACCAATCAGAGACAGGAGTTAATTATTCTGTTCAGAATTTGAAGGCTATCTTTTTAGAATTCTTAAGAACACTAATTGTGACATACCGGTAAATCAGTTGTTTTTATACATGCTATCAATGCCATCTTGTAATCCCAATTGAGCATACAGCAGGTCATATATAGACGTTTTTAATCTGGCACACTGTACAGATGCTGGTGTGATTGAGATAACATTCACTGAGTATACATGTACCTACAGAATGACTGAGGGTTTCGATATACAAACTGGGAGGTAGACATGAGAATTTGAATACAGGAGAACAATTTAGTCTAAGGGTAAAGAAAAAAAAAGATAATTCCATAATGATGGCATAATTTTTAAAGAATTATGAGCGTGACTCACAAAGCTATCAGGTGACTTTTCATTTTTAAAGTCAGTATCATTGTCATCATTAATTTCAAATTATTCTTTTTAGTATTTACCTACGTTACTAATATAAGACATATTTTGGGAGATAGCAAGTAAGCTATGAAAGCAATCTAAGCTGGTTTAATCCAGCTTAAAGCTGGCAAAGTTACACTCTAGATATAACAGATCGTGAACTGAAAGTACATATAGGCTTGAATTGACCCACGTTTATATATCATACCGGTAAAATAAAAGTGTAAACACCCTGGAGAACTGAAAGGTAGCACAGCGAACTGGCCCTGAAATCTGCATAATTAAACAACATTTTAAAAATGCATTCACTTCAACACAGTCTGCAGGAGACTGTGATTGCAGTACATATATGAGTACTGTGGAATACTTTATTTTCACTTGGAATTAATTTTTAAACATGGTTGTCCCCTTAACACTTCAGTAGCATACCAGTGAATACACTATCATACACAGTACACCTTGACTTTGAAGGTATGGTAACAGCTCCCTGGTTATTAATTGCTGGTACTGTTGGGTATATGTATAATATGTTATATTCTGATTAAAAAATCATAATACATGTGAGTGGCAACTTGGAATGTGTCGTTTGATTATTAATTCATGTCCCACGAATGGCAGTGATTTAGAAATACGTAAACATTTTCCAAGCATTCACAGCATTCGCTTTGCTAGTGAATTATTGCTGGTCAGTCAAAAACGATAACTGGTCCTGCATTTATGATAAATATACTATTCACAGACAGACAAAAAGTAAAATTAACAAAATTCTCTATCTGTATACATAACTCCTATTTTATTTCCTGTATTTTGACCCTTATCTGTGCAAATCAATGTAAAAGTACATGGGGATGGATGATAAGCTTTAACTCAAAACGTTAAGCACCCCCACCCCCTCCCCATCAGTCACGAGAGCGCATGTACTGCAAGGCAAGAGCAGATGACAATGTCAGTAATTGCTTTATTTCAATATCAAAACACATAATTTTCATAAATTCTACTTTATTTTAATTACAACTTTATTATTACACCAGTGTATGAAATTGGCCATAAATTATTGCCAGACGTCAGGACTAGTAACTTTCTAAATTTCCCTTTCCTGGTAGAAAGTTACCAGTCCTGTTTATTTTTCCCTCATATTTTCACACTCATTACAAAATAAAATATGAAACACATAGACTATTTGCTCAATTTATTGTTGATTTTCGCTGTGAGAAAGGAACATAGACAGCTTGAAGTATTTTACAGTAAACCTGCTTACACTCGTAGTCATTCGTAGCCACACAAATTCTGATTTCCATAATGCTACGATTGTTTGTTTTCTCTAGGTCTTATGTATTCGTTATTAGATTCCTTCCTTTCATTGCTTTTTCAGCAGCTATTTCAAAGACTGATTACAAACTTTATAGCAAGTCTCAGAAGTATGGGGGCAGCCAATTTGCAAACTCGCTAGCATCATTGTGCATAAATTCTTTGCATCTTTTCCGGCATTGAACTTCAAGATTTTAACAAACGTCTTTTATCGAGGCTTCAATGTGTTTTATTTTATTGTTTTTTTTCCAGATATTGATTTTTAATTAATTCATCCAATATTTGAATCACACAAGATACCTAATTTTAGACGTGCATTTTCATGCTTATATGCTTCGCTCATTAGTGTATTTTCCGGCATATCTCATATCCTCATCCAGTATTGACAATGCTGTAATATATCATTTCCAATAAATTCTAGTCGCGCCCCCTACATGTGGGGAGCCACCTAACGCTAAAACAGGGAAATCCTCTTACCTGTACACTGTGTTATGTTTTCAATCAAAGTTAGCAGTTTTTCGACGCACGTATCGTCCACGATAGTCTTACTTGAATCCAGTAGAAGATGGAACACATCAGGTAACCTCTTCAAACACGCGTCAATGTGGGTAGACTCCATAATCATTTGTCAGCTATACAACTCTCAAGATCAAATCTTTGATTTATGAACGAACGGATATATTACAACTGCTTCTGACAAGTTTCGCGCACATTATGAATCGTTGCTCGAAGGACTAGAATAATTCACTGGAATGAACTGATTTGTTTTCATATTCAAACTCTGACCACTACGATCGTTATCAATATTTACATTCCGACACTTTAACGTGCACACCTCGTCCTGGGCGCCGCCATTTTCTTCTTCGTAAAGGACCTGTGCGG